CAGTAGAGTGCCATGGTGTCTTAGCTCACAGGAACCTCAAACTCTTGGGATCAAACGATACTCCTGCATTAGCCTCCCAAGTAGCTGGGACTATAGGCACCTGCCACAACACCCAGCTATTTTTGAGAGACAGAGTTTGGCTCAGGCTGGTCATGAACTGGTGAGCTCAGGCAAATCCAGCTGCCTCGACCTCCCAAGTGCTGGGATTACAGGCATGAGCCACTGTGCCCAGCCATCTGTGAGTTTTTATCAAATTGTTATGAATCTCCAAAAATGCATCTAATGTATTTGTCGAGAAAAATCTGTGTATAAGTGAATCTTATACAATAGTTATAAGAATTATATTATATAGTTATATTATATATTATTATATATATTATTATTATATTATATAGTTATAAGAATTATATTATATATATATAATTCAAAACTATTTTGTCCAAGAGTTAACCGTAGTTTCTTATTTGAGTTTTACAACAGTTATCCAACTGCAATCTACCTAACCTTGTCCTTCTGTTTAATCCCGTTCTTTCCTCTGCAACATCCAGAATGATCTCACTCTTAGCCAATGGCGCTTACTTACCCAGTTGGGACTTGAGTAGAGAAGTTGCTCTCAAATAGTCACTCAAGGTGGACATTGTGTGGATAGCTAAAGGGAGATGTGTGTGATTGATTTCCTCACAGCAATGCTCTTTTAATTATGACAAACTATACTATCATGTCTTCTCATGTCAAGGACATACTAATGGGGTTACAAATGGATGGATGGATGGACACAAGAACAGAGTATGACCATCTCAACCAGGTTTAACGAGGTCCCTGCAAGGCAGTCCTGTAGTCTTGTTATTTTAACAGATTCCAACTGACTCTGAAAAGAAGGGAAACTGCTGATTGTGATTAATGTTGTACACAAGGTTTCTAATGGCAGAATATTTATGTGTGTGTGTCTTAAATAATGCTTAGTCCATCTATTGATAACATCTGAGTCCTATTAATTTTGTGCCTGCTACCATGTAGAAGAACCTCCTTGATCCACTTGGGAACAAAGTTGTCCAAATGGATAAATTCTTAGGAAAACTGGAGATTTACTTCTATAAGTTCAGAAACTATATCAGACCTTTTGAATACAAAATGTGTTACAAACTACCCCCATCAATGTCTGTCACAGGTATAAATTGATGTTTCCCTGGACTACTCAGCATTTTACATGAAAATGGGTACAGTGGTGTTTCCAGAGCCTGGTGAGAGGTTTCAAGCTGTTTAACCTGTTCATTAAATAGTCCCAGGCAGCTAGTCTCCACTGTTCATGATATTTCATGCTGCTGCCAGTGAGTTTGCCTGTAGCAACTCTTGTCTCCGCTTCCAAGCAGCTCTTGTCTCTGCTTCTAATTTCATTGTATCCTGCAGAACCAAGCCTGAAAAAGTTGTATGTAAAGAAGAGTAAACAGGTCCAGAAGAAGAGTTATAGGGACTTGTCTGGGATCAAAGTATATAAATGTCAGAACATAGGGTTTTTGGGTTTTTTTGAGATAGAGTTTTGCTCAGTGGCCCCAGGGTAGAGCACCATGGCATCATAGCTCACAGCAACATCAAACTCTTGGGCTCAAGCTATCCTCTTGCTTCAGCCTCCTAAGTAGCTGGGACTATAAGTACCTGCCACAATTCCCTGCTAGTTTTCCTGTTTTTAGTAGTGATAGGGTCTCACTTTGCTCAGGGTGGTCTCGAACTCCTGAGCTCAGGCAACCTGCCTCCGGTTCCCAGAACGCTAGGATTACAGGGGTGAGCCATTGTGCTGGGCCAGAACATAGGTTTTATTACATTTACTATTTGAAATTGCCATTTGAAAGTCAAAATGGCTGATTATTGGCAATTTCATCTAGTTAAACCTAACATATGCAGAGGGTGTCAAAAAACGTATACATATTTTAGGAAAGGAAAAATTCTGTATTAAAAGTAATACTCAAGTCACATTGGACTTTTAAAATTATAAGAGGCACAAGATACACTATACAAGGTAACAAATGTTATCATTATATATTGAATACTATGATTTTAATACATTTTTTTCTTCTAAAAATGTGTATACTTTTCGGTGCCCTCTGTATTTACCATGCTTGTGTGAACTCAATCAGTGTTTCTCAGACTATTGGGGTGAAGGATCAGATTTTTTTTCTTTTTGTAATTTCTAATCCATCACAGTCCAATACTTTTGTAAAAGACAATAAAAATTAATTGCTAGAAAAATTAAATTAGAAAAAGATATACATAAGTCCATTTATCTTATTATATTCATAAACATAAAATTACATTTTAACAAAAATTATCAGAACGACCTCATATAGGAACAAAAAGAGATACAAAAAGTACCACACCCTAGAGTGTATACACATAGGTGAAGAGTAAAGAAGTTGCTGTACGCTCAAAATCTGTCCTCGGAAATCATAACTAAACACAATTATGGGGGAAATAATGATTTCCTATATTAAGTGCCCAAATGAATACTTTGAATATACACACGCATGTCAGCATTAAAAATGTTAATTGAGGCTCTGGTGGTCTCTGCGGGGCAGGCGCAGTCATGGTGCAGCCAGGAAAGCTGTGTAAGGAGCAGAAGTATGAGCGGCAGCTGAGGTTGGCGGTGATCATGGGCAAGAAGCTTTAGAGTCTGCTCACGTTTGCCTAATAAATGCAACAGCCACAGGAACTGCAATTCTTCATTTATAATTATTGATGGAAATCATGTCAGTGGAGAAGATGCCGGAAACAAAACTGAGCTCAAGCTGCCGTGGAATTCTTACAAGAATGAAATAACGATGTCTCTGGAAGTTTTGTGGAAAAGAACCCAGAAAACCTTCTAGACAATGATCCTTCATTTTTCTGTAGGTTTACCATTGTGGCTGCAACTCAGCTTCCAGAAAGTACGTGCCTTCGTTTAGGAGATGTCCTATGGAATTCCCAAATCCCTCTTTTGATCTGCAGGACATATGGGTTAGTTGGTTATATGAGGATCATAATAAGAGAACATCCAATAATAGAATCTCATCCAGATAATGCATTAGAGTATCTACGACTAGACAAGCCACTTCCTGAACTGAGAGAACATTTTCAGTCATATGATGTGGATCATATGGAAAAAAAGGACCATAGCCGTATTCCATGGATTGTGATCAGAGCTAAATATTTAGCACAGTGGTATAGTGAAACAAATGGACAGACACCTAAACGTATAAAGAAAAAGAGGACTTTGGAGATTTGATTAGACAAGGAATTCTAAAGAATGAAAATGGGGCTTCAGAAGATGAAGAGAATTTTGAAGAAGCTATTAAAAATGTGAATACAGCACTAAATACAACTCGGATCCCAAGCAGTATTGAAGATATACTTAATGATGATCGCTGCATAAATATCACCAAACAGACTCTGTCATTTTGGATTTTAGCTCGTGCCTTAAAGGAATTTGTGTCCAAGGAAGGTCAAGGAAATTTGCCTGTTCGGGGCACAGTTCCTGATATGATTGCAGATTCAAGCAAATATATAAAACTTCAAAATGTTTGCCGTGAAAAAGCAAAGAAAGATGCTGCTGCTGTGGGTAGTCATGTAGCCAGACTGCTGCAGCCCATTGGCAAGGCACCAGAGTCCATTTCAGAGAAAGAATTAAAATTACTCTGCAGCAATGCTGCATTTCTTCGAGTGGTAAGATGTCGATCCTTAGCTGAAGAATATGGTTTGGACACAGTTAACAAGGATGAAGTTATTTCCAGCATGGACAATCCAGATAATGAAACAGTGTTGTACTTAATGTTACGCGCTGTTGATAGATTTCATAAACAACACGGTAGATATCCAGGGGTATCTAACTGTCAAGTTGAAGAAGATATAGGAAAGATAAAAGTCTTGTCTCACTGGCTTCCTTCAAGAATATGGTTTATCTGTAATGGTGAAAGATGATTATGTTCATGAATTTTGCTGATATGGAGCTGCTGAGCCACATACCATTGCTGCATTCCTGGGAGGAGCTGCTGCTGAACAGGCTATCAAAATACTCACCAAACAATTTGTAATTTTTAATAATACTTAGATTTATAGTGGCATGGCACAAACTTCTGCAACTTTCCAGTTGTAGAGTAAGCACCCTATGGAGCTTATTGATAGAAAATGTACTTCTTGTCTTAGTGTGTAAAATTCTGCTAAAGGAGAGCTGCTGCATTGTTTCCTGGATAAACATTTTTCTCCTTTGTATAATTAAAAAAAATGTTAATCGAAAAATTCGGGTTGGACTGCTAACAATGCTACTTATAGGAAATACTGTATATGTAAGCTGTATCTAAGTTTTGTTTTCACAACATTCATAGTAGAGTGTCCGAGAGATATCTTGACAGAAGTGGAAGAAGAGATTTAAGAACAGCGTCAGCTAAATCACGGATGCACATAAACCGTAAATTATCCTGGAAGTAAATCACAGCAAAGTGTTGTACAATGGTGCAATGATTTAGTTTGCCTTTTATCCTGACCTAGATGTGGAAGGTCAATTGTTAATATTGTCTTGATCATTTCTAACAGTGCCCAGAGGCATATGAGCAATGACATGGTGTTTGGGTGGAAACATAAATATAGAAAAACAAATCCAAAAAACTAACTAACTAACTAAAAACAATTTCAGCATACCCAAGATGATAATTTTTAATACGATGAAGCAAATGATAACGGCATTTTGGAAGCATATTTTAAATTTTGGCCACAGGTTTCAGATTAATTTATAATGTAAAATTATTGTTAAATTTAAATTATATTTTGAGAAAACAAATGGCTTCTAGATCCATGAATTTCCTATACTTTTTATAGAAAATAAAAAATCAAAATGTTCTTTTTAATTTACAAGGCATTTCATGATAGCTTTTCATAGATGTAAAATATCAACATGTTCGTCTCTTCGTTGATCATTGTTGTTTAACTCATAAAAAGTTAAGTTTTCAGGGCGGTGCCTATGGCTCAAAGGAGTAGGGCGCTGGCCCAATATATCAGAGTTGGTGGGTTCAAACCCAGCCCCAACCAAAAACTGCAAAAAAAGGTTAAGTTTTCTGTTTTAAAGCTTCTAGCTTTCCTTCCTTTTTGCCCTTCAGTGTTGTGTGCTATCAAAAACAGTTATATTCATTCTTTGCCTGAACGTGTGAAGATCAAGAATACTGATGATCGATGACAAAAAGCATATTTGGCTACCCAGTTCACATCTGTAAAATACTAGAGCCAAATTGATTTATTTGATCTTTCAGAACAATTTGTTCATAGCTCAGATAGTCTCCGCGCTTCCCTTTAATAACTATGGTACATCCACAGTAATAGCAATCCTTTGTGATCAGCTTTCATAGTATCACATAATGAAGAGATTAATATCAAATCTAAAGCATTACCCCTTACATGATTCAAAATTTTTCCTAGGTCACTAATCACATTCTTTGGTTCTGCTGATATATTTTTTTTTCATAAGGGAATGTTTATAAAATTATTTTTAATTAAAAAGATATTCATTTAGTTAGTTTTATAGAGATGGGGTCTTGCTATGTTGCCCATACTGGCCTTAAACTCCTGGGCTCAAGCAATCCTCTCACCTCAGCCTCCTCGGTAGCTGGGACTATAGATGTGTGCCACCACACCTGGTCATAGGTGAATTTTTTTACAAAGGAAACAGGACACTGACATTACGTGCAAGCTCCTTAATCCGGGTAACACCCCCCTGAACACTTCCTTGCCTTTGCAGCTATGCAGTCAGATTATATGCCTCTCCCTGAAACCCACACTCTAAGCCACACTGTGAACAATGTCATCTTCCATATTTTTATACAGTTCAGAGCTGTGTTTGTTAGCAAGGAAGCTGAGAAAATAACTCTTCCTTTATGTCACCATCATGTTCAAATGGTGACATAAAGACACCTGCTCAGGACCTGTCTGTAGCTCATGCCTCATGCAGCTCATCTTCCAAGTTCACTGACACTGGGCTGGTCTACAACTTGCTCAGTGAAAGGAGCCACTGATTGCATGCTTGAGTGTTGTGGCAATTTGTAATCACCGTTTCCAGAGGTTTACTTAATCAGCTGGAGTTCATCTTATTGCAGACCTGTAGCGAAGAGTTTATGGACAGCATCACTTCACAGACCGTACTTAGAGTAGCAGTGAGCCAATGGAAACTATAAATGTAGAAAACATTGCAGAGATATCATAGCTCCCATTTGGATACTGAGTTACAGCCTACAGAGCTTGTCACATGTATTATGTCCTTATTAACAAAACTCAGAATGGATAATATTTTTCTCATTCTTCCATCAAACCTCCTATTGCTAAGAAGTGGCAATTAGAATTCAAAAACCCCTAGGTATTCAGACCCCAAATTCAATGCATTGTGTCATCTGTAATTCCTAAATACCTACACAGTAGCTAACAATCTAAATAATATGTATTTGTTATTACTTCTTCCCCACTATTTACTGTGACAACTCAGTTCAGGATTGATGAATAATCTCTTTTGACAACTCACTTGCTGAATAGATTTGAGTTGATTTTATCTGTAATTATATACAAAGTCCTACAGTGAATTTTGTTCTCTAAATTTATTATTGTCCCCAGATGCAATTAGGAAAGTACATTCACTGTCACTTTTAAAAAATGCCACTTTATAAAACGTGAAGTCTTTACTAACCTTTCTCAGTGCACCTTAAATGAAATTCACTCCGTCCCCTCATTTGTATGAATGAAAACAGGAAGATGAGCGCAAAGTATCCTAGGATTATGACATTTCAGCAGTTTTCTAGATCATCTTCATTTTTCTTTTTAACTACCTCTTATAAAAGGGCTAAAAACTAAAATACCTTTGGGGAGGCTGGTGATGTAGAGAGTAAGTAGGTCAGATGGGACTCTAGTGAACTGACCAGGACATGCTGTTTAAAACGGGCAGCAGCTGCCACTGGCTCTTAGTACCTTGACTCACTGTGTTTGTGCAGGACCGTCAGCCCAGAGCCACTAGATCCTCTGACATTTAAGAAAAGTTGGAGATGGATTTCTTAATTTTTAAGAGCTGGCAGCAAATGAAAATATTTTACAACACTGTACGAGTCAATGAAAGCCAGCTGCAGGAAGACTGAGGTATCGGCTAATCATTTCCTGCTGGCTTGCGCAGAAATCTTGGTGCACAGTACAGCTGAAGGCTCTCTTGCCAGTAGGGCCTGTGAGGAGGAAAGTGAGCTTAAGGAAGATTTTTTATTTATTTTATTTACTTACTTAATTAATTAATTATTTTTGAGACAGAATCTCACTATGTCGCCCTCGGTAGAGTGCTGTGGCATCACAGCTCACAGCAACCTCAAACTCTGGGCTTAAGCAATTCTCTTGCCTCAGCCTCCCAAGTAGCTGGGACTACAGGGGCCTGCCACAATGCCCAGCTATTTTTTGGTTGTAGTTGTCATTGTTGTTTAGCAGGCCTGGGCTGGGTTTTAACCTGCCAGCCCCGGTGTATGTAACTGGTGCTCTACCCACTGAGCTACAGGCACTGAGATAAGAAAGGATTTTTGGATAGGGGAAACAAAAAGTTTTCTGCTCAACCCTAACTTTACCAGAAATTTATTTAATAGAGCACCTTCATGCTAATCACTGGTGTTTGGAGTGTGTGTGTTCTATTAAAAGTTTCTTTATTGTGATAAAATCTATATAACGAAATTGGTCATTAGACCATTATAAGTATACAATTCAATATCATTAAGTACAATGTTTTGCCACCATCAACACTTTCCGTTTTTAAGAAGTTTTTCATCATCCCTAACAGGAATTTATACGCATTAAATACTAATTCTCCATTCTGCTCTCACCCTAGTCCTTGGTAACCTCTATTTTACTTGCTGTCTCTATGAGTTTACCTGTTCTAGGTGCCTCGTGTTAGTAGAATCAGCCAATGTTTGTCCTTTGAGTCTGGCTTATTCACTTAGGCTCACAGTGAGGCAGGTTCTCACGGTTCATCCCTGTCGTAACATGTAGTAGAATTTCATTACATGTTAAGGTTACCATTCATCCACTGATGGACACGTAGGTGGTTCCCACCTCTGGCTATTGTGAGTAACACTGCTGTGGACACTGTTGTGCAAGTATCTGTTTGCATTCCTGCTGTCAGTTATTTTGGATGTGTACCTAGAAGTAGAACTGCTGAATTCTTTTTTCTGAGACAGAGTCTCACTTTCTTACCCCCTGTAGAGTACTCTGGCATCATAGCTCACAGCAACCCCAAACTCTTGGGCTCAAACAATCCACTTGTCTCAGCCTCCCAAGCATCTGGGACTATAGGCGCCCACCACAGTGCCTGGCTATTTTTTAGAGATGGAGTCTTGCTTTTTGCTCAGGATGGTCTTGAACTTGTGAACTCAAGGAGTCCACCTGCCTCAGCCTGTCAAGAGTGCTGGGTGAAGTGCTGGATTATATGATAACTCTATGTTTAATTTTCTAAGGAACTACCAAACTGTTTTCCACAAAGGCGGTGCCATTGTGCATCCTACCAGTAATGCACAGAGTTTCGATCTCCTCACCAACAGTTGTTATTTTCTGGGTGTTTTATTGTTGCTGTTTTTGGCTGGGGTCAGATTTGTACCCACTACCCCTGGTATATGGGGCCAGTGCCCTACTCCTTTGAGCCACAGGCGCAGCCCGTGTTGCTGTTGTTTTTTTTAATAATAGCCATCCTAATGTTTGTGAAGTAGTATCACATTGGGGTTTTGATTGCATTTCCGTAGCAGTGACGTTGGACATCTTTTTATGTGCTTATTGGTTATCTGTATATTTTCTTTGGAGAAATGTCTTATTCCAGTTCTTTGCCCATTTTTGAATTGGGTTATTTGTTTTTTTTGTTCAGTTATGGTTCTTTGTATTGAACTATTGAGCTATTAAAAAATAGCTTTACTTTATTTTTAAAAATTAATGGGGTTGGGCATGGCGGCACATGCCTGTAATCCTAGAACTTTGGGAGGCTAAAGCAGGAGAACCGTTAAAGGACAGGAGTTTCAAACTGGTCTGAGCATCAATAGTGAGACCCTGTCTCTAAAAAAAAAAAAAGAAGATATATATATATTAGTTGGGCATGGTGGTGGTTCC